AAGGTGAGCTTCAGATACTTACCCTCCCCCCGCCACTTTTTCTTCCCCCGCCCCATTTCCCTCTTCCTTGCCTCTTTTCCCTCCCCTCTTTCCCCCTCTGCTTTCTGGGTTATTATTTTATTTTATTATTAGTTTATATTTTAAGCGCCAAAAATACTCATCTAAATCCATGGTAATGGGTTCTGAGTTTTCTACGTTCTTTTCTGCAGAGGGGGAGGGTCCTCATTTGGCTGTCCCTTTCAATGTCTAGGTGTTATTGAAACTTCCGATTGGCTGGGGGTCTCTCAGCATACAGAAGACTGCACAGAGCACAGTGTGTTGACATCTGGATCGGTCCACCAGTTGTCACTCCCAGACGAGGGACAAGAAAGGAGACTTAGCCATAGAGTATATTCTCGTGCAAGATATTGAGAATATCCTCTCAAGATATTTAATAAAGATCTTGCTAAATGGATAAGAGGGGGCGGGATGAGAATGGGCTATTGTCATGCTTGGAGATAGGCTTAAAACTAAATCAGTGTCAGTTAATACAATGCTGTCTCACCTAAGGGAGCTCCTGAAAACATTACCTGCTGGGGGAATAAGGTACTATAACGTAGTTATATAAGGAAATGTTACTTGCCAGTATGGTACTGCTAGATGGAATAATGAAAAGTTCTTGTCTTTTTTTTCTTCACAGTATGCCTTGTTTCCTAGAGTCTAATTTTTCTTTTACCATATCTGTATGTTATAAAAGTGAATGTTGCTTGTTTGCTCTTTGTGAATTATTTGCACAAAAAAAAAATGCACAACTCAATCACACTGACAACTGTTACATGGCTTCTGATCATTTGTATGGAGAGCAAACCTTGCGCAAATCAGGCAAGATTAATCCGTGTTGGTCTCTTTGAAATGTTTATGCATCAAGAGCAAAACAAATCTGAGCAAACCATTTCTATTTTGTCTTTTTTGATTTTGTACACTGCTGTTTATAATTTTGTGAAGCTCATTCATCTATAAGCACATTGGCACATTCATTTATTTTCCTTCAGCCAAAATTTTCTACCCAGTTCCACTGCTGGGAAAAATAACATTGTTCAGACAGTTTGTCTGCAAAATCAAAATGAGGACTAAATAAAAAACGCGTCATTCCTTATGCCAATCTGTTCTTGCTGAGTGAATAGAGGTTCCCTGTTGAAGTCAGATTTGAAGTGAACTTGAATCAATGCTTCTCCAGCCTTTTCATCTTTCTAAAACCCATTATTGGGAAGTCTCAGAACGGGCTATTGAATTCTGTCTTGCTTTGACTTGCAATCGTGCTAAACAGTTCTGTAAAATGCAATCACTCAGAAACACAGATAAGAGCACATTGTTGAAATGTAACAGACTTTATGAAACAGAAGCACTGTAAGTGTTCTGGAATGCATGATGTCGGCATAAAAATTGAAGCGTTAAAGTAATTTGTCATAAGCCTTATGCCTTCCATTTCCAAAGCCAAGGAAATTGTTTTATAGGGGAAATGCAGAAGTAAAGTATTGGCACTGACCACAGTGTGTACACATTGCACATGCACAGTCATGCACATATTTGGACATATACATTTTTCTCTTTCTCTCTGCCTCCTTCTATCTGTCATACTTCTTCTATTTGTTCTCTCTCATGCTTCCTTCCTAGTGTTCTATTTCTTTTTCTCTCTCCATCTGAATGGCTTCCTTCTCTCTCTCCCCCTTTTTCTGTCTAACTTTCTTCTTTTTCTCCCTCCCATTTTCTATCTATGCTCTCTTACCCTCCTTTCCTCTATCAGCCTTTCTTTCCCCTTCCTTGTATCCTTCCTACTTTTTATCCTCTCTAATTCTGTATAGTTCCCTTCACTCTCTCTCTAGCTCTCTTTCTATCTTCCTTTTCTCTCTCACTTCTTTCTATCTTCCTTTGCCTCTCTCTGCTCCTTTCTATCCGTCTGTCTTCTCTCTACTTCTATCTATGCTCTCTCTGTCCTTCCTTTTGTCTGTCCTCCTCTCTGATGCTGACACGAGAAAGCTCGAGTTACAGGAACCAATCAGATTTCTTCTTTAAAAGATCAAACATTATTGGTTGCTATAGGCACAATCTGAATATTGTTATAGTTGTCTTTGGTCTAGTTGTCATAAAAATAGCCTCAGTATGTCAACATAATATTTGTATTATCCCAAATCTACTTGCAGCTGGCATTGTTGTACAAGCCCCATTCTGAA